TTGGTGTCACGCCCGCACCACGCTCAACCAGTGAGCGGACCGGTCTCTATATTGGATCCGAACCCTCAGCGGGAGCGCTGCTGCGCTCCCAAGTGCCACACTCTACCAAGTGTGCCACCGGGCCGGCCCATAACTTTCTTAAATGCTATGGTTATATATAAGTTAAAATATATAAAACACAACTTGCTTTCCACATGATTGTGTTAGTTTGAGATGGAAATTTGTAGATAAATCCTCTTTCTATTCCTATCTCGTGAGCCTTAAAGTACTATAAGTTGGGTTAGTTTTTATCTTTAACAGGTTGATTTAACACACTTTATGTAGACTTACACAGGTCACACAATATATACTATAGAAAATAATGAAGTATAGTCATGACAGTTAAAGTTCAATGAAATATAAAGATTTATTGATAAGTAAAAGAAGACAAAAATCTATTACTTTTCATTTATTAGACTAATTTGGTCATGATTAATCTTTTAATAAAATGCACCTTAGGCTTATTTTTTAGTATATGCTTTAACTCCAAACTGCAGTCAAACTGTCATTGTGTCAAAAAAAACCCAATGCCATCTTAAGCTGTTAGATACTTGATAACTGTTTATGAAACGAAAAGAGCAGATTTAAACATGACACTTTATGCTTTGACTTATAGCAATTCAATACAAATCATGGCAATTTAGAAGCAGAGGTGCTACTGACAGAAGCAGCATTTCTAAAGATTAAGTTTCTGCAGAATTATTTAGTGTTCTCTGGATAGTTAAAAAAATGTACATTCAAATTTCCTGGCATAATTTTTATCCATGTGCTCTGTTTCATTTACATTTTTAGAGAGAATCTCCTTGGTATGTAGAACTATGTCTTAATTTTTTTTCAGGGGGGTGTTATGGGAGGGTAGGAAGGAGTTGATAAGATCAAGTGTTATTTGTGAAGACTGCAAATAGCATCTGTGTGACAAGTTAATAGAAATTTATTTATGATTTATTCTTCAGATCCATCTTAGGGGAAAAATAATAAATTCTTACCAAAATCAGAAATGATAGAAGTGAATACTGAACTAAACTAACTGTAATAGGATAATACATTTTTAAATGGTTTTCCTCTACACTAGTGGATACTAATTGTTTTAATAACCTTTACTAAATAATCTGATGTGTTAGCTACAGAAGAAAACAAAAAAAAAGTGAGGTTCCTATTAAGTGTTTCACAAGTTGGACCCTAAACCTGGGATCTGTGATCAGAATGATCCAGATGCATTAGCAATGATGCTGAAACTAGACAGACTTTGTTTTTTTTTGCTGTAGTGTTCAGATCTTATCGAAATAGAAACGCAACTGCTATCTAGAGACCCATATGTGTTCAAAATCTTCAAACTTTTTATTTTTTCTCAGAGGCATTGATCATCGCTCTGATGATTCTTATTATAAGTAAGTATACTAAATTTTAATGTCACTTAAATCAAAATACAGTATAGTCATGTACTGCATAATGACACTTTGGTCCACAACAGACCACATATATGATGGTGGTCTCCTAAGACTATAATGGCTATACCATGTAGCCTAGGTGTATAGGTGGGCTGTACCATCTAGGTTTGTGTAAGTATATTCTATGATGTTTGCAAAATGATGAAATCTCCTAATGCCACATTTCTCAGAGCATATCTCCATTGTTAAATGACATATAGCTATATTTCTGAAGAAGTGCATTTTTTTGTTTTTCAGATTCTGTATTTTTTATAGCTTGAGATTAAGTAAACCAATCTAGAGAAACCTGACCTTTTATATGAATATACTACTTTGTGTTGGTGATTTTATATTCTTTTATATTCTATTTATCTACTTAGTAACAAACCCTAAGTAATACTAAGTAAAACATGTTTTCTCAAGATGATTAGTAATATAAATCTGCTTCTTAAATGTGCTTTTGATAATTTTCTAAATTAAGCAAGGACTCTTCTCTAACTTATTGTGAACTGTGTGATTCCAGGAAATTGGATTTAGAAAGTTAGGAGTCCAGCTGCAATATAAGTGTACAAGTACTTAAATAAAGTAACATTTTCTGACCACGGAAATGCAACCAACATTTATTTCTTCTGCTAGATTTTGAATCTTGGTAATACGTTTTCAGAGTCATGTGTCATTTGTTTCCTGGTTTCTTGTAGTTGTTGCGGTTGCAATAACTGGTGTCTGCCTGTACAAATATCTTCAAAAGAGGAAGAAAAGGTAAATCAAAGCTATTTCTTCTAACTTATTGGTCCTTCTTATCCTTGACATGCTTTTGTGTAGCTTAAGTGTGTACTCTGTATTGCATGTCATCTTTTCTTAAAATGTAGCCTGCATTAGTACGTCCTACAAATTACATTCCTTTGCTAAAACATGTTTTCAGCTACTTTTAACATCATTTCAACGTGAGGAATCTGTGCAGAGTGGCGTCAGCTATTATGACTATACCAAAAATTTCTGTGGAATTCAAGGTTTAAGTTCTTCAGCAAATCATGGACCACTATGAGGCCTTTCCTACCCTAAGTATACCCTATCTCCTAAATTGGACTGGTGGCCAAAATTAAATTTACAGTGTTTTGCTGTGGCGACTTTGACAGCTGTATTCACTGGAATGTTTATGATGAAAGTTTTCATTTGTGTGTAAAACTTAGCTAGTCGTAAGAAGTATATAAATTTCTCATTCAGATCCCCAACTTGAAATCTTTTCATTTAGAGTTGTTATTTACACGTTAAACTGGGGAATTAAAAACATCTCTTTTTGATTTCCCTCAGGTTCTTTTAATTTATTAGGTTTCAGTAAAACTTGTGGGGTTATAGTTGCTGAGAAGGGTAAGATTAATGAGGCACCTCAATGGACATTTATGTGTCTTCTTATCTAAAAAAATGTTTAAAAAGGGGGCTCAGACTAGAAAAAAGGTACAAATACCTATCTTCTAATGAAAATTGGGTTTTTAAGCATCAAACTTAAATTTTGATGCAAGAGTCTAAAATTTAATGAGAGATTTAAAATAAATCCTGGAGCATAGACCAAGATTAGGTGCTTTGGAATTTCTGAAAGATAATATATATTTTTACTGATTTTTTTTTCCTGTAGCTTTAGACATAGCTTTGAAATCAAACCTAATAATTTTAGGACTTTTGGTGCTCATCATTTTACGACATCTCTTCCTTTTATATTAATCATCAGGCTTGGGCTATGTAATAAAAGTGCATTCTACACTCAGAGAGAGCTCAAACTTTTTTCATATTACTTGGTTATCTTTTTAAAATATCCACAGTCTCTTCAGTTGAATTTTAAATTTTATATTTATGGAATACATGATATGAATATTTGATTTCTCTATGAGTTGTATATTTTCAGAATTACATGTAAAACGATATAAGTAGTAAATACCATCAGTGGAATATTTTTACAATCCAGAGGTCTGTGTAGAAATAACTTCTAAAGAAAGCAAAACAAAGTAGCTTTCTGCTCCTTATTTTCCTTCTGTTCAAAACATTACTGCATCAAAATTCTTAAAAGTTTCCCCAACAAATATTAATCACTCTCTAGCTACCAGTTAATGAGTCTTTTTAAGCCAAACAATTACCTGATCATTGTACTCCCAAATTAAAGGTTCAAAAGCGATAGTGATCTGAATCAGTGATTGATCCAAAATCAATTTGTTTGGCAATTTTTTCAAAAGCCTGTAGCTTTATAGCATAGGTTCCAACAGAAAATTTCCATATTAAAATTTTAAAATATTTTTGGAAGGTATTATATCTTTAACCAATGCAACATAATTAATCCTGTATACAGAAGCACAGCTTGAGGGGAAAAAAGTTCAGAAAATGATGTGGGAGAGGTAATTCATAATTGCCTTTGAACTAAAATATAAACTGTATGGGAATCTTTTAGGATATACGTTACCCTTTTCGTGACAGGACCATATTTGATTAGAAATTGAGTATAACATGCAGTGGCTGAACCAAAAGTTAGGCTCTCTTTGTGAATTATGTGGCTTCAAGACATTGAAGTACCATCTAATTCTTCAACTTCTGTATTATTTTAATAGCTGAAGTTACTCTAATGTGAGGGTGGTATACCTTTCTTTTTTAGAGCCTAGAGAAGTGCTTCTCTAACTTGAATGCATATATTAATCACCCGGAGATCTGTTAAAATGCAGATTCTGATTCAGTAGGTCTGGGGTGGAGCCTGAGATCCTGCATTTCTAATGAGCTCCCAAGTGATGATGCTGCTGGCCTGGACTACATTTTGAGTAACCAGGGTGTAGACTACTGTTGATGTGGTCATATTGTTGAAATCTGAAGAAACACCATTAAGCTTATTGGCAAATATTTCTGATGTTTAAGATAATTGGGAGTTTTTAAGACTCCTCATCTATGTGTATGCGTAGAAAAAGGGTGTAGGGTTAATAGTAGAGGGTACTTCAGAAAATTCATGGAAAGAATAATACAGTCTTTCGATTCTATTTTTCCACAGACTTTTTGAAGCACTCTCATACATGGCTTTATTTTACTTTTTTTTTTTTTTTTTTTAAAGTACAGATTTCTGTTATTCTCTTTGCACTGTTTAATGTCCATAATCTTTTCCCCCCAAATTGGCTGTTATTGCCTTAGAAACTTCTTATATAAGACTATAAAATGTATGGAGTTACTTCTCTATTTCTAGGGGTAATTCTAGAAGAACGGTAGCAGGCACAGATACCCCAAATTGCTGCTAAACCTTGGTACATAATGGATTTGATGCAAACTGATATTTATGATGATTTGGAAACACAATTACCCTTCTGCAGCTTTCATCTCAAAGTAGAAAAATAGTATAAGTAATCATTTTTAAGATTATCCAACATCATTTAAATTACTTAATGAAAAATGGCCAAAAGCTCAAAGTATTCTGGTAGTTTTTTGTTTCTTAGTGTATCAGTCCATTTTGTGTTGCTATAACAGAAATACCTGAGACTGGTTAATTTATAAAGAACAGAGGTTTATTTGGCTTATGATTCTGGGACGGCTGCATCTGGTGCAGGTCTCAGGCTGCTTCTACTCACGGTGGAAAGTGGCAGGCAGCCAGCGGGTACAAGCAGATCACATGGTGAGAGGAAGCAAGAGAGAGAGAGGGGAGGTGACAGGGTCTTTTAAACAACGAGCTCTTGTGGGAACTAATAGAGCGAGAACTCACTCATTAATCCCCCTCCCCCAGGGAGAACATTAATCCGCTCATGATGGATCCACCCACATGACTCAATCAGTGTCTAGCACTGCCATATTGGGGATCAAATTTCCACATGAGTTTTGGAGGGGACAACATGTCCAAACTCCATCACTTAGCTTTCAGCTAAGAATAGAATAGGATGCCAGTTGGCCTGAAACCGGTCCCACCTACATGCACCTTCCTTTCCCCTTCTTGTTTCCTCTCTTTACTTATTTTACCGTATTTTCTAGTCCTAGAAGCCACTGCCCTTTGTCCTGTCTTTGCTGCTGCTTGAGTCCTGAATTGCATGTCATGTCTGTGGTTCTGAACAACAGATGCAATTATTTACATACAAATTTTCATTTCCTGTGATTTTTTTTTAATAAATATATGATTTTCTTTACTCCAGTGAAATAATCCTTGGATAGGTGAGAGTTGGCTAAGTTAATGAGAATTATTTGCATAATTTATATTTTTTATTATCTGTGGCAAAAGAGTTTTTCTTTTTTTCCATTAAAGAGATTTATTGTTTGGTATAACTTAAACCTATTTTTAATGTTATGTTAATACTGACTGATCCAATTACTTTGTAATTCTTATTAAATACAACATAGTAACATTCAAATACTTGATATACCCTGAAGTTCAGAGAGTCTGAAAACTACTTTTCCTAGTTGGCTTTAGCCTTAAAAATGTCCTAAGAGACTAGAAGATACAGTAATCCCCTTATCCTCGGCTCTATTTTCTGAGGTTTCAATTATCCCTGGTCAATTGCAGTCTGAAAATATTAAATGGAAAATTACAGAAATAAACAATTCATAAGTTTTAAATTGTGCACCTGATCTGAGTAGTGTGATGAAATTTAATCCTGTCCTGCTCCATCCCACCCAGGACATAAATCATCCCTTTGTCCAATATATCCACGCTGTAGACGTGCTACCTGTCCCTTAGTCACTTTGCCTTTTTGGTTATCAGATGACTTGTCACAGTATTGCAGTGCAGTACAATACAATAAGGTGTTTTGAGAGAGAGAGACCACATTCACATAACTTTTATTATATATAATTTTTGTTTTATTATTATTGTTAATCTCCTACTGTGCCTAATTTATAAATTAAACTTTATCATAGGTATGTATGTATAGGAAAAAAAACAGCATATATAAGGTTCGGTACTATCTGTGCTTTCAGGAATCTCCTGGGGGTCTTGAAATGTATCCCCCATGGATAAGAGGGAACTACTGTATATAGGACAGGGTAGGCCCAGGCTGTCAATTCTAGTTGGTATGTTTTCTTTTTCCTTTTGCCCTTGTGGTCAAAGACTCCACTTTGTTTTTCCCAAGAAATTTCCCTTCCGATTGGCCTTCATAAGATCCTGCTCATTATAAGAAGTGGGGTGCATATCTCTGTCTCTTCCCAACTATGCAGACACACATTCTAGTGCAAAGAGAGAAACACTTCTAATTCATTTCAATTCAAAGACAGAAGATGAATGGGGTCAAAGGGTTTAAAGCAGTGCCATCCATAATTTTTCAAAATCTGAGGACTTTTTTTGTTTTTCAATATGCTAAGAATATTCCAATCCAGAGAAACAGATAATGCCTTTACAGAGTTATATACAAGTTGGAATTGAATAAATTTACAAAATTAAGTAAAATATATTTGGTTTCTATAAAAGGGCATTTTTCCTCATTGTATTTAAAATAAACTGATTGATTATTTCCCACTGGGCTCAAAATTTTCCATACTTTTAGATTCACAGCTGCTCTAGAGTATAAGGAAGCAAGATAGTCTGATAAAAGGACAAGAGGAACGTAACTCTGTTTATGCCAGTGTCAAAGCAAAATCCTGTCAGTATACATTGTTAAACTTAAAAAAAGGAATGGCATAAGAAGACATCAATAATTTAGCAAAGGGAAGAGGAATCTAAGTTTCCTTTTTGATGTTTACTGCCAACATAGCTTAGGTTATTGATATCTAAATATCCATTGAATATGTTTCAAAAGAAAGGACTTTTCTGAAAAGAAACACAGCAGAGCTACTTCTGTGGCTCTCATCAGTTAGGTATGTGCTGAACAGAGGAAAGGAAAAGGGCTGAATGAAATAATGACATCCCACCAAGAAGAAGCAAGAGTGGTGTAGTAAGTGGGTTAAAATCAATGACAGAAGAGAACGGAAGTAAAGCTGAGAATTAGGTTTGTAAATTAAGTCTTTATGAGTCTCACTGAGGGACTTGAAAGATGAATTTTGAAACAGAAGCTACTTTAACCTTGAAGTCCAGCAATGAACAGATTCTAAATTTTTGTTCATTATGTTTACCTTTGAAACCATTTTGCACGAAGACAATAATGCAAAGATAAAAAGAATAACATTGTGGGAGGAGAAATGGCCCTGGTCTCTAGCACCCTGAGTTTTGAGGGAATACACAGAGTAGATATTAAATCCATGTAACTTTGTCTTAGAAATAAATTTTATGACAAGTCCAGCATTTTCAGATGCACCTTGCCTTTAGCATTGAGTACAGTTTCTTCTTGTGGCACATTTGTTTTCAATCCGAGGGAAGATTCTTGTAAAACTTAATAGTACATGACGTTCCATATTTCTGGATGGATTTAACTTCGTAAATATGCTCTTTAAACTAATTACAAAATCTTTTGTTATATATATATTTTTTAATTTTTGAAGGCTTTGTTAAATACTCAAGAATTTGAGAACCAACTGGAAAAATGTTCGTTCATTTGATTCTTATGTTTTTTGCCCCATGTCACTACATTTCACAACTACCTGAACTGACCACTATTTCTAAACTGTCTGTGTTTAAATGACAATTACAGTCAATTTACAAAGGCGGGGCCTACAGCTGTGCTGTCCAATTCAATAGTCAATAGCCACGTGTGGCTACTGGAGAATTCAAAAGTGGCTAGTCCAATGTAGAATGTGCTATAAGTGTAAAATACACCCTGAATTTCAAAGACTTAATACAAAAAAAAAATGTAAAATACATGTCAAATGATAACACTTTGGCTATATTGGGTTAAACAAAATAATATTACTAAAATTAATTTTGCTTTTTTATTTTACTTTTTTAGATTTGGCTTCTAGAAAATTTTAAATACCATATGTGACTGGCATTATATTTCTTTGAACAGCACTGGACTGGAATAGTAGATTTTACAAAGATGACTATTGTTAAGATAAAAGTGCGATGTCAACTTTAGTTATTTAGGAGAATCTCTTACAGGAATGCATGATTTCCTTGACAGTGAGGAGTAAATGAAGCATTCCTATACTTAAACACTGTTAGAACCACTACCTTTTTAAAAGTTTCATCTCAGAGCCACAGATTTAAAATTGCAACATTAGGAAAGCGTGTTTCTCTCCCCTCTTTCCCACTGGCCCTAAATCAAAATGAGGAGATATTTACTAAGTACTTTGTATGCTACTGCTCTATTTCTTGTTTTGGAGGGGATTGAAAATATAATACAGGGAGAGAAGAAGAGTTTTTGGAATGACACTAGTTGAACATTTGAAATTATTTAAAAATAATCATTAATTTCCTAGTTTGGGGACTTGTATGGTTGTGTTTTTTTTTTTTTTTTTTAATTGTCCATTTTCTAAATAGGCTTCTGGAATTTAATTTCTGTACTTATATTTATCTTTGATGCTATCTTTATTCCTTGCCTTGTAGGAAACCTGAGGGTAAAGTTGAATACACTGCTTACCATCACAAAGCAACCACTGCAGAAGCGCCGCCGAAATGAATGATTTCTACAAAAAATGTTTTCCAATTTATCTTTTTAATCTATTAAACTCTTCAGATCTACAAGTTATTCTTTAGTTTGACTCTCAAGAATGCAACCGTCAAGTCATATTGTTAACATTTTAATGTGGCTTGAATGTAGTCACTATCCTTTGATGCTTCTTTGAAATGTGTATGAATTTGGGTATGAACATATTGCCCGTTTTTCCCTTAAAATAACACTTATATTTATAGGGCAAGTCAAAATAGTATCCATGGTGGGGAAATGATTTATAAAATCTGCAAATGTAGAGAAATACAGTTCAAAATGAGATTACATTTCATTTGTAAAGGAAGTTATTTTGAAATCTTTTTTGTTCAAAGATTAATGCCGGGGCTGGCTGGTTAGCTCAGTTGGTTGCAACACAATGTTATAACACCAAGGTCAACACCAAATCCCGTACTGGCCAGCCACCAAAAAAAATAAATAAATAATAATAATAATAATGCTAACACTTGAGATTTATTTTTCAACAGTTCTAAATTGTATTTTATACATTGTTCATTATAAAAAGCTTTTACAAGTATGTGTATACTACTTTTGCTCTTATCCATTAAAAACAAGAACACTAGGGGCCGGCCCGGTGGCGCACTGGATAAGTGCACCACTTGGGAAGCGCGGCGGCGCTCCCGCCCGAGGGTTCGGATCCCACATACGGACCGGTTCCC